TAAATAAAAAATATATTTATATTATTATTATTTTTTTTAATTAAATAAAAAAACATCTGAATTTATAAATATTATATATCTTTTCATATAAAGTGGTTAGAAGAACATAATTATTTTACTAATTATATATCTAAATAATCCTTTTTTTCATTATATTATCTTATATATATATAATAATTTTCTTTTATTTTATTAAAATATATAAAAATATAAAAGATTTAGTATTGTAGGAAAAATTCGATTAAGACAACATTTTTAAAGGAAAGAAAAAATAACTAATGATAAGCATATACATATGTAAATATGATAAATTTATACATTCATACACATATGTAGTAATACATCATTATTAATATTATATCAAACATATATATAAAATTTAAAATATAATTTAAATAAGATCTCATAATACATTTCATTTCTTAATTTTCTCAATAATATTGGCAGTGAAATTTATATTTTACTTATAAATTATGAATATTTTCTTACACAAGTAATTTGTCATACATTTAGATATATTATACATTATGTATAAAATAATATTAAAGTGAGATTAATGCTTAAGTGAAATTTTTTTGAAAACTCATAATTTATCTTTTTTTTTATATTATTTTCAATATTTGTATTTGTATATTGTTTTTCAATATTTGTATATTTGTTTATAATAAAAAGAATAAAAAATAGATATGCACAAATAATAATTTGTAAAAATATTTGTACATTTTCATTATAACTAATTATTTTAAGAAAAAATTTTTTTTAGATTACTAATTTTTATAATATATAAGTATTGTTATATTTATTTATATACAAGATTATACCTATGTGCAATTTTATTGTAAATTATCTTATAAATAACTATCTAATAATCTATATATCATATAGTTATTTGAAGCAATTTCTAATAAATATATAGAACATTGTTTTTAGAATTATATTTTTAAATTTATTTTCTACAATTTAAATATTTTTCATGATTTTTAATATTTATTATTAATCTATTTAATTCATACACAGTATATTTATTAATGTTTCCAATAACAATGTTCACTTTCACAATAATTTTAGTAAAATTTACTAACAATGTTAAATTGTTATTAAATACAAAACATCAATTAATAACGTAATATCAATTATTACGTTACAATGATTTTTTATCACAGTATTTTTTTTTGTATTTAGTTCATTAGTTAAAATATAAAATACAAAACATAATAAAAAGTTGATTTAAATCTTAATATAGAATTTACAAAAATTTTAGTTTAATAATTTTAACAGGAATGTTAAGGTAATTTGATTTGCTGAAAACATAGAAAAAATACATATAATATATTTAATTTTAAATTTAAATTATTCTACCATATACATAATACATAAAAGTAAAACTAATAATTGAAATATATGAAAGTGAATTGTTTTTTTATGTTATACTATATGAGATTTTATATAATTATAACTCATATTTTGCAAAGTAATTTTATAATATACATAATATATATAAAATTTTTTCAAATTTGACTAAATAAGGCAATATTTATTATGCATTCATTTACAGCTTTGAAATATATGAAATTTAATATACTAAGCATGTTTATTTTATTTTTTTCTTATATTATTATTTATTTCTTCAATAAATGAGTAAGATCTTTGTTTTGTTTCTGAAGCATAATATCTGTCTTTTCTGCTTTATCTGTTATGTTATCAATCAAATCATTTTGTAAATCTATTTCTTCTGATAATCCTATTGCTAAACCTTTCAATCTAGCTAATGAACCACTCATTTCATCTAAATTTTTTTCTAATATTTTATTCACATTATTACTTAAACGATTTGTATTCTCTACATCATCTATACCACGTAATTTTAATGCTGAACTTGTATTAACTATATTAGTCTGTACTTGTTCTAAAGAATTAGATAAAGCAGGAGATGCCATAGATTCTGAACTGGAAGATTCTGATAATATTGTTGATGGTATTGGTGCATCCATTGATTTACCACTGAGATAATTTTTAAGACTTCCAAATACACTTTTTATTCCTTGGATATGTTTCTGACTAAATCTTAATGTACTATTGATATCATCTAATCTTTTTTCTGTTCTTTCCAATTGTTCTCTTTGTCTAATGAGTTCCTGAAATAAAATCATAAATAAATATGAATTAAAAATCATTAAAAAAAATATATTAAAAATATATATTTAAATATATATTTAAATACATGCAAAATATGCATGTAAAATATAAAAAGATATATAATATATAAAAAATTAAATTTTTTAAATATATTCTAATCTAAATAAATATCATAATAAATAATATCATAAATATGTTATATTATATTTTATTTTTAATAAATATAAATAATATAATAAATATCATATAAATAAATATCATAAATATGTTATATTATATTTTATTTTTAATAAAAACAAATATATAAAAACATAGATATAAAATTATATGATATATGTTAAGAAAGACATTTGAAATAATAATACTCATATATTATAGAAATATATACATGTATAAAATATTTATTATAATTATTAGTTATAATTATAATTAAATAATATTAAATTGTAGTTACCTCTGCAGTAGCAGCTCCAATTTGTTCAGAATCTCTTAATAAAGAAATAGATCTTTCTGTTGATTGTATTGTACGTTCTTCTATTTCTTTTTTTCGTTGAAATAATTGTTGACGTTTTTGTTCGAATTCGTTGTCAGAATTACTATAATGATTGTAAGTCATACGAGTAGATCTCGATGGTGCACTTTTTAGAAACGTTTCATCATCGATGTCATCTTCGAGAGAGAAAAATGGATTTTTTGGATCACTTAAGTAATTCTGACTTGCCATTTCGTAGTACAACACACACTAAATGATTTTTTTCTTTTTAAGTTTTAAAGTCTGGTTAGATATTCCGACAAAGTGACATTCGTAGACACGTAAAATCTAAAGATATGTTATACTAGATGGCATTCTATGCGTAAGTGAATATGTAGATGCCATCAGTGATTCTCAAATATTTTATTGATAAGTCATTATTTTTTCAAACTTAAATTGTAAGTTTTATTTGAAATATTAAAAGACTGAAATAAAATATTATTAATACTAGAATATTACTAGAATATTAAAAAACTGAAAGATTAATTTAGAATAATTTTTAATTACTTTTAAATACAAATTAAATACAATTAAAAATAAAATACACAAAACAATAAAAATTGTTAAATATGAATTAATTTTTCAGAAAAAAAATGTTATTTTTTCATATAAATATTATTTTATTTCTGAACTGAATGAGTAATAAAAATAATAATGTATAAAATATGACATATAAACTACTAACATATATATATGATATATAATTGCATATATAGGTTAAACAATTAGTTGAATAAATAATACAAATTAATTATTTGATCAAAGAAATAATATAATTCAATAATTTAATGAGAAAAGTATTATAGATCAACAATTTTATCAGACAAGTATATATATATATATTTTATAGTTTTTAAAAATATGATTTTAAGAAGTAAATGTATAAAATATAAAATTGATAATATTATTTAATTCTATAAATAGAATTGAAATAATTAAAAAATATTTTATTCACGAAAATATAAAGCTTAAAAATATAATGTAAATATAAATATAAAATAATTAAAAAAATTTTAATATGTTTTTTCTCTTCTATTATATTTTTTTTGTAATACAAAATCATAAAATTTATTTAAAAATTATTTTAGATATCACAAAATTTAAAATATGTGAAATTTAAAAAATTTTTCACATATTATCTTTTTTATATTATTTCATTATAAAATCGTAAATTTGAACAGAAATATTTTGATCTCAAAAATTTTTCGAAACTTTATTTAGGAAAATATTCAATAAAAATACACAAAAGTTTTCTATTTCTTGAAAACTTTTATAAAATTTTATATTTATGAAATATTTATTATTTTATTAAATTTCAATCCAATTTGTTCCATATTTTTCTCAATTTTAAAGATATTTATACTTATTTCTTACAATAAAAGCTATTTTTATAATATTATATAAAACAAATATAGATAAAAAATTTAAATAATGAGAGAATAAAAAGAGAGTAAAAATTAAGGAATCAATGTTATTTTCAGAATTCCATAAATGAAACAAATATATACGGACAGGAAATAATAAAAAAAAGATAGAAATAAGATAAAAATTAACTATTAGCACCATTTATTAAGTACCAAAAACATATTAAAAGTAAGATAAAATAGATTAGAATTAAAAAGAATTAAAAATAAGTTCCATCTCTTGAATGTTTTTAAAGAAATATTTTTTGATATTCAAGAGATGGTGCTGATCTTTAATTCTTATACTTTCTTATTCTGTTTTTGAAGAAATATTATTGATATTTAAATGGCATTGACAGTCAATTCTTATGTTATTTCTATCTTTTTATTGTTACGTTTCATTTACAGAATGAAGATGGCGATAGTTTCGCAATTTTTCTCCTATTTTTGTTTTTATTATTTATTTTTGTCTTACTCGTAGCGCATGATCAGAGACAAAATGAAGACTGTCAATTAAATAACTTATTATTTTTCTTTCAAAACTATAACATTTTAATTTGTAATGTAAAAAATACAAATATTATATTTTAAGTTATTAATATATCTTTAATAATAATCTTTAAAAAATAATATACTTTGCTATATTACAACGTGAATATTTTAAATAAATTATGAGTAAAAATCTGATAAAATAAATTATAAGTAATATGCATAATAATATTTTTTCTGATTTTTAAAAAGATATTAAAAAATAATAAAATAAAAATTTATTTTTAATTTTCGTTTAATAAAAATAACTTTTTATAATTAAAAAAATATACGCGATAATTTAAAATCACTATTTCAATTAATTTATTTCGCAATACTTTAGTAATATAAATATAATTATATTATTTAAAATATAGTATTTTATATATGATTACAATTTATTCAAAATATTTATTCCTCAAAAGTTAATGTAACAATTGATAAAATAGTATGTAATTTCAAATAATGCACAAATTACGTAGTAAGTGCTGCCCCCAAGCGATAAAATATTTAAATATAAACTATAACTGTCGTTCTCTGCTTTTCAAATGCCAGTGAGAGCATATCGATTCTAGTTCAAGAAAGTTAACCAACGACTTCGCACGAACAGTTGTGAGTTACGTCTTCTTCGTTTAAAATAATCTGTTACAAATAATAGATAACATGGAATCTGCTATTGTTCATCTTGAACAAAGCGTAAGTATTTTTACTAGTTTTTATTCATTTTTGGATTGTTCATTTTGAATGTTATTTATGTTTTTCAGTAACTATTGAATTTGTATTGAATTCAAACGAAATGTCAAATGCTAAATGCTATTTTATTATATGATTATTTATTATATTATTATATTATAATAATAAATTAATATTTTATAAATTATTGAATGTTATAGGTGCAAAAAGCTGATGGAAAACTAGACATGATTGCATGGCAAATTGATGCTTTTGAAAAAGAATTTGAAGATCCTGGTAGCGAGGTATGTTTTGTTTAAGAAAATATGAATTATATATTTTTTGTTAATTCATTAAGTAAAATTCATAGTTAGTGCAAAAAATTATATTTTTCTTTAAATGTTAATCGTTAAATTAATAGAAAAAATTTAGTTAGAAAAAATTATAATTCAACTTATTTGCTTAAAGGGTATCAAATTTAAAATTTAAATTGCTATTTTTATTTTTATTCTTTTTTATGCTTTTAACAGATTTCTGTGCTTCGTCTATTACGGTCTGTTCATCAAGTCACAAAAGATTATCAGAACCTTCGGCAAGAAATATTGGAGGTTCAACAATTACAAAAACAACTTTCAGATTCCCTTAAAGCACAATTATCTCAAGTGCATGGACATTTTAACTTATTACGCAATAAAATAGTAGGACAAAATAAAAATCTGCAATTAAAATAAGATTAAAATTTTTTATTTATATTTAAATGTATTTTTTAAATTATACTTAATTTATAATTTTTTATTATAAAATTATTATTAATCAAAAATATAAAATTATTTTAAATCAAAAGTTATTAGAATAACATCAAAAGAATGTTATGTTAAAATGTTGCATATTATATTATCTAAAAAATTCAATATCTGATATATTATTATAAATATGTTGATAATTATCAATATTATCATATAATTATTAGAAATACTTATAATAAATATAATCATTTTATTTGCTTCATAATATAATTATAAAAAAATATTTGTTTAACAAACATATATAAATTTAATAATACTAAAAAAATATAGTTGCAATTTTTATATATAAAATTTTTTGTAATATAAAAACATCCAATATTAGTATATCTTCCAAATACTATTTGTGTCTGATCATAAATATTTATAAAAGACTATTTTATGTAAAATATATTAAAATCTTTTTTATATTTTAATATATTTGTGTATATATCTAATATAATTAATTAGAAAATACCATAATTATGATTGATTTATTATTAGTATAATAATTTATTATTCAATTTTATTGTTTAATTTATAAATAGTATGGGATCAATAGATATTGCAGACAAATAATTTATTTAACTTTCTCTGTAAGTGTATTATTGGGGGCCAATCTATGTGCTTGTATATTCATGAAAAATAAGTAAGATTTGAAAATATCACTTTCATTTTTATATAAGATGTGTTAATTATATGATTAGACACACTTATATTAAATTTGATTTAAATATATAGAATTATAGAAATTTAAAGTTTAAATAATTAAATAATATAAATAATAAATTTAAATAATTATTATAATATTTGAAAAATCAAAATTAAAAAATGTTCTTAATTTTTTATCCATGTAGAATTTACAATTACAGTGCCAAATTTTATTTATATTTATTAAGATATAGAAGAATAATATACATATTTATAATATATATTGAATGAGCATATTTAAAAACAAAGTTACATTTAATTAAATTTTTATTATTATCTTTTAAAAGACAATGTACAGTTCTTATTAAAATTTATATAATTGATAAAGAATTTTAATTTTTTTTATATGTTATTATGATCAAATTCTATAATTGATTATCAATCAATCAAAATGATCATGATAATATGTTCTTATATAAAAACAGAAGATATAAGTAAATTTCTAAATTTCTAATATTTAATTGTAACAAAGTTATACTTAATAATATGTAACTATATTCACTATAATTATTCTATAGTTAACTATTTCTTCTGTAACAATAATCTTGACTATTCCTACATTCACAATATATATAATTGAAAACTATTTCTTATAACAACTATAACAACAAAAATTTTCTGCTGAAATTAACATTTTAAAGAATAACTTATATATAATATTGTTATGGTTTATAAATTTTTTTTTTAATATATAAATTTTATTGTATGTATATAATAAGTATAGAGTAGGAAAAATTGCGAGCATATTTTATGACACAAAAGGATAAAGATAGGAAGCCAATTGTTGCATATATTAGGGTATGAAAAATTAAAATTGCCTTAAGACACAGATGTGCATTCAGTGAGCTATGTTGGAGTTAAAGAGAAAAGTCTGTTATTTAGTAATATATAAATAGCATACTTTCATACATCTTGATTGGTCAATTGCGTGCATTTCAAGAAAATGTTTTAATCTTTTTCATAATTTCAAATTTGTACAATTTGATTACAGATTTATGTTTACAGATTAGATTTGTGTAGTGATTACATTTTTAAGTTAACATTATATTCAATAATATATTTCAAATATTTATTTTGTATCTGTCTTTTTTTTTTATTTCTCTTCTATTCCATGTTTCACAAAACAGATTAAAAAAAAAAAAAAAAAAAACAGGAAGATCTGTAAGTATTTGCATTTTCTTGAATGGAGTAACTGAGTTTCATGACCATAAAATTATTAATTGTTCACATAATAAAATAGTTCTCTTCAAACTTAATGCAAGTCGATTATCTATTTAAACGTAATTTACGAGAAACTCCTCTAAGTCAATACTAATAGTTCAGAAAGAAAAAAAGAATATTTGTGATACTCAGTGACTCGCACGTTTATCAGAGTTTATTTATATTTCAGTTAATCAATCGTGTATCCGGTTTCAATTAAAGGCACAGAGTATTAACTGAAAATATAAATTAACTTCTAGATTGACCTCTAGCCTTTATCTAAGCAATTAGATCTGTCAATATCGAAACTATATCGATACATACAATATATGTATATGTAGTAATATCAATCATAGTCACATGTTTGTTTTTTATTTTATTTTATTGTTATATAGCATGTTACAATATAAAAATAAATTTAATTATATACACAATGTTGTCACTATATCAATCTATGAATTTTTTTATATAATTGAAACATTATCAAAATGTCAATGATGACGAATTTTTATTTTATCATAGATGCGTAATTGTATTTCGAATTAATCATTTCATTTATAAAAAAAAAACATTTTTTATTCATAATTTATATAAGATAAATACATATTTTGATATTTTTTATTTTAGAATAAAATATTAATTCAATAGATCTCTAATTGGGATAAAATATTTTTTTATAAAAAATTTTATTTTTTTATTATAATTATGAGTTTAATAATGAAATTTTACTTTTTAAAATATATACATGTGACTTTGATTTTAAGATAAGTAGTCTAATTGTCGTTAAAACTCGTTTTTTAGAATAATAGAAGGTAAGTGAAGAGAAAAATGGTCTGGAACACATTTGAAACGTGCCAAAGTACTTTGGTCAATTAGAATTAAATATTATATACATATGTATATCGTTTTATTTCGATGTAATTGAACGCAGATTTCAAAACATCTGCTTTTCTATATAGAGTACATATCATATTTTCACGATTTTCAAAAATCTACTTCATCTTTTTACTCGTGATATTTCTAATAGAAAAGAAATCATCGATCTTTTGTTTAAACTTGACTCCATCTTAATCGTAATACAAGAGAAAAAAAACAAAAAATATTGTAATTATATAAGGAAAAATTAATTAAAAACGTAGCAATTTTCTATTATTTATTTATCTTTTTAAGTAAAAGCTTTCATTTTTTTTTTTTATTATTTAATATTGTCCGTTTGTGGCTATTGAAGGAAAATTTATTTTTATTATTAAATGTATTTTTATTTTTCTTTAAAATATATAATATAATTGATTATTGTTTTATATGTTCTTCACAAAAGTATCAAAAATAGTGTGTTTCATGAAAAATTGTAATTTATCATTTCTAAAGAAAAAATAATTAAATGATAACAATGATGAACTGCGTTTTTAATTAAAGACCTCGCATATATGTTTATATAAATGTTACAGATGAAATTTTGATGCATGTTGCACGCTTAGACATAATATGAACATAATGTATCGACCATTTATATAGAACTTCTTTATTATTTATTCATGAAATACGCGTTCAAATGATTCGTAAAATTGTACAACTTGATTCCAGTCTATATTTTTATTTATTTACGATTATAATTAAATTATACTTATATTAATGAAAATTGTAACACAATTTTTTGAATTATTTTTGAAAAACCATTTCATATTAAATTTTTCATTCTATTTTATTGCAATAAGGTAATTTTAATAAGTAATATATTGTAAAAATCGTAGGAATATTTATTTCAATTTTTCAGACTGGAATTATATAGTATAAGATTCGAATCAAGCGTTGAAATTTATTAATGATTTATTGTATTATACACGATTGCTCAAACATTTCGATGTATTATACAAAATTATACAACTCAAATTGTATCTTTTTAGATATTTATCATGCTATTATTATGTAATAAATTGTTAACTCTGTAGCAAATCACTAACGAGAGATTTTTTTTTTATAACCCTGTTTATAATTTTGTTCTTTTCATATTTTCAAATTAGATTA